ATTCTTTGAAACTGTGTAACCTTATACTCACCCTGAATGAATACAGGCCTATATCTCTCACTTTCTATCTCATCTGTACTTTTTTTTTTTTGTCAGTACGTAATATTTAGGCGAGGAATTGGAATTGACCGAACGACCGATTTCTTTTTCATGGAGAAAGTAGACATGGTTATTGCAAGATTTTGGGTGTATCTTTTAAGGTTAATGAAGTAAGTTAATGCTTCAAATCAATAAACAATTTATTTCATTTATGTGAGGTCCCACGTTGGTTGGAAAGGAGAACGAAACATTCTTTATAAGGGTGTGGAAATCTCGCCTTAACAGACGCGTTTTAAAACCGTGAGGCTGACGGTGATATGTAAAGGGCCAAAACGGACAATACTTGTTAGCGATGGGCTTGGACTATTACAAATGGTATCAGAGCCAGACATTAAGCGGTGTGCCAGCGAGGACGTTGGGTCCCTAAAGAGGGTGGATTGTGAGATCCCACATTGGTTGGAGAAGGGAACGAAGCATTCTTTATAAGGGTGTGGAAACCTCTCCCTAACAGGCTGACGGTGAAAAGGAGATTTCTACCCGACTCTTTTGTGTAGTTTTTGGGAGGGAGTTCTCTCTACCCTTAGCCCTTAGGTTGTTCCTGGTTCTTTTTGAACACCATTCATATTATTTATGGTTTTTGTCCTTTTGATTGGCGTGACGTGGTTGCAGGCTAGAAAAGATTTTCTCCAGACAGCCAAAAAGACGACCTATGGAAGATTTGAAGAAGAATGATGAGGCTACCCCTGATGTTGATCAAGATGACCTAAATGTTGAACGAATTCGTCTGGAGAATATGGAACTAAGGTTGTGCCTAGTTTCTTACGACTCGTGTCTGACTCAGTCGGTTCATGCTTGCATATATAAATTTTGTTTCCTTTTCATTCGACATATTTAGATCTGGATTGACACCTTCCAGACCGCCATCGAAGTGTTAGCCTCCCAAATTGGCTATTCTCATTAAAGAAATGAGTCTCGAACTTGTTCCCTTTAATGTTTTTTCGACCCATTAGGCCATTGAATGTCATAGATATGTGGTATGAGAGTTTCTTCTCATCCGACTACTTTACTTACCTTGTTCAATCTGGTGAAGGAGCGAAGCCGAGGTTCAGGTTTTCGGTTTCTTCTTCTTTTCTTATAGTTCAATCTGGTGAAGGAGTGAAGGAGAATTCTTGTTGAGTCTTTCCTTCGTGTTCAGTCGAATTAATCTTTCGTTTCGTCTTTCCTTCCAAATTACCTCATGAAATCAGGTTTAGGTTTTCGGTTGAGTCTTTGTTACAGTAGAATGAAGAAGTGCATTCCATTATCCATTATTATTGGTTGTACATATACTTTTTGACAAGGAAACATATATTTCTATTCGATAAAAAGAAGTTCAGAAGATTAACTCTCTAAATTTTTCGTCTTTACAGCGTTCGCAATATGCTGGGCAAGACTACTATTCAAGAACCTACCTTCGATAGGATTATTGTAGTTTACAGGTACTGCTCTATTGCTTGGAACTAATCGTGCACCATTCTTTTTTGAACTTCCATTTTAAATCGAGTAGGATTTGATTACCGTGTTTATCTTCGTTTGGCTAAATGAGTTGGAAGTCTTGGTTCAAGATCAGATGGGTCTATTTAAGTACATTTTGGAGTTTGTGGTCTTTATTGACGGGAAGGGTATATATCGATGATTTTTCCTTACTACCATTGCTATGCTGTTTATTATCGGTGCGTATTGGTGAAGGAATGACCTTGCGAGTTAGTATCCGAGCTAAGAATGAATGATATCTATTACTCAGTTTGAGGAGAGCGTTTGAGGAGAGCATTGAAGGAATGATCTTAATTTAAGGAATATTTGTCACAGAGATGTAGGGAAGAATAGGATGGTATTCAAATTTGTCAAGGTTGGACTCCAATCCCGAATGGAAGAAGAGGATGGTATCTTAAGAAAAAGCTGTACAGAAAGTGCATAGTCGTAGATGCTCCGATCTACTAGTCGTCTTCAAATACCTTGTCCTTGAGGTTTTTGAATCGGTCAGGAATGTAGCGTGACAACGAGCAAAATAGGATAAACTCTAGGCATGTTCTTCTATAAGACCTCGAAAAATTGCTTCAAGGAATTACCATTGCAAGTGTTGGAGTTCTTCCGAACATCAATCAATTCTCCAAGAGGAGTGAGCACAAGAGAGGCAAGCAACGCCGTGGAAGTGTTCCAAGAGGTGTGAGAATGAAAAAGGAAAACAACGCTTGTAGAAATGCTCCAAGGGGAGTGAGCACGAGAGAGACAAGTAATGCCCATGGAATTTCTCCAAAAGGAGTAAGCAGGAGAGAGACAAACAATGCCAGTGAATGTGCTCTAAGGGGAGTGAGCATGAGAGAGACAAACAACGTTCGTGGAAGGGCTCTGAGGGGATAGTATGTACTTACTGTTGTGTTAGTATTTAAGCTGAGAATGAATGATATCTATTACTCTGTTTTTTCAATTATTCTAAACTATAGTTCGTTGACATGTAAAAGGAATGGTAATTCTTCAGGCGAGCAAGCACAAAGTCCAACCCTGATTGTGGAATATACGTCAAGCATTTTAAAAACATTCCGATGGCCGATATGGAAATAGTACTTGTAAGTTCATTTTCTCCATTTTAGTAATCATTCTCCTTAGCTCCTTGAAAAGTTCGGGTGATAAGATCAATTACAAACTTCTTGTGACAGCCCGAGAAGAAAAGTCCGGGATTGACTCCAATGGACTGGGTTACGTTCCTTGTATCTGCTATAGTCGGGCTGGTTAGTTTTAAGAATGTTTACGTAATGCACTTAATATTTTGTTTACGTGTTCTTATCGTTTATATATTTTAGGTGGCTGTAGTGGGTTCAATCGAAATGCCGAAGGCGGATTTTTGGGTCATTTTCGCCGTTCTCTCTACGGTTATCGGTTACTGTGCGAAGACCTATTTCTCGTTAAGAACCTTTCTCTGTTAGATGCGTATTAGTATTGTCTTGTTTTCTCTAATGCTTGTAATAATAGTCTGTGGCCATTCTTTTTAAACCTCTAGGTTTCAGCAAAATTTGGCTACATATCAGAACTTAATCACACAATCGATGTATGACAAACAGCTCGATAGCGGAAGGGGCACGCTTCTTCATCTGTGTGATGATGTGATCCAACAGGAAGTATGTATATTATGATGTTCTTGTCGGTCGAATCTGAATATCGTATAAAGACGTTAATTTTTCATGGTTGTTCGTAATTGAATCGTTGAAGGGTATGTTTTCTTAGAGGCTAGCGATTTGGTCGTTTTGCAAGTAGCTTTCATGCTTTTGTGAGAGATATTTTTCGTACTGTTTTGTACGGTTCGACCGTTCTGTTTGCCTGCTCACTGGTTTAGCTTCTGTTTGCATGTGCATCTGAATTTGGGGCGTATACACGTGTTGATCAAGTTTTTACTTTGGTACTTCACGAAATTTTATAGCTAGTTCAGCTTAGTTGTTTTCTTGGGTATGCCGGTGGTATGTCGACTGTCGATGTTTTGCTCGTGCTCTTTCGAAATGTTGAGTTTCTCTGTCGTTTACGATGCAAACTGTTAATCAATACTTACAATGCCTTTTTTCCCCTTGATGTGAAGGTCAAAGAGGTGATCATTTCATTCTTTATACTGATGGAGCAAGGCAAAGCTACTTTAGCAGTATTTATCTTATATCTCTACTTTATGTTCTTGCTTTCTTTTATTTTTTAATCGAAAGCTCGATGCCGATTATGGTGAAATGTGATTAGGATCTTGATCTACGGTGTGAGGAGTTGATCAAAGAAGAGTTCGGTGAGTGTTGCAACTTCGAAGTGGACGATGCAGTTCAGAAGTTAGAGAAATTGGGAATCGTTTCACGGGTTAGTCTAAGTGTTTTTCTTACTGAAATCGAAGTATGACAACACGTGCATATATACACACACACATATGTACGACTGCTGACATTTTGGTTTATATAAGTTGATGGTGCACGGATACCGATGGGTGGCCATCATCTTCGTCTGATTCGTTCTTCGTCGACTTTGATTTAGGATACCATTGGACGTTATTTCTGCGTTGGATTAAAACGTGCGAATGAGATCATTGGAGCGACTACAGAGGAGCTCGTCCTGAAAGCAAGGCAGGGTCTTAATCCTTGAAGTGAAAATGGTGCTTAGAATATCATCCATTTCAGTAGCTTAGTGATGCATGCTCTGTAGTTTTCTTCTTGTATTTACCTATTCTGAATCCATAGAAATGCTACTCTTTGATGTGTTTCCAAGCTTGATTTGGGTATGGTAAATGATATCAATAATATACACTTCCAAGGCTGCTTTTGTATTAGCTTGGACTAGAGATGGTTATATTTTGATCTGATCGCCCAACAAAATAGTTGTTTAGTGAAAGACTCACGTCGATTGGAGAGAAAACAAAACATTTTTTATAAGGGTGTGGAAACCTCTCTCTAGTAGATGCGTTTTAAAACTGTGAGGCTGATGACGATATGTAAGGGGCCAAAGCAGATAATATCTGCTAGCGGTGAGTTTGAGCTGTTACAAATGATATCAAAGTCGGACATTGGACAGTGTGTCAATGAGGACGCTCGCTTGATTTGTGTAGGAATTCGATTAAAAGTTTAATTATTAATTTAACTTCGATCTTTGGATTGAATTAAAAAAAAGAATTAAATGAAAAAAAAATTTACTCAATTAAGTGTAAATAATTTATTATCTTTAAAATAAAATATTTATAATATAAAATATAAATAAGGTAATTGAATTTGGTGAGAATTGATATGTTTAGTCGGACAATGGCCATTGGGCCACCGAGCTACGAACAGACCAGAACAAAATATGTGTTCGCCGGCCGTACAATCCATAAACCTATTTTGGAATGAAGATACTTCGGACAGGGATGAGTAGAATACTCAGTTCGAGCTTGGCATCTTCTGCATTTTGACGATCTTTGGTATTACAACCTCACGATTACTGTTCCTCCTTTTTTTCAGAATTTTTCGTTCTTTTTTTTGTTCTAGATTCAATTTTATACAGCATTTGTATTCATTATTCGATCCTATACACGGGGATACTGTTCCAGGTCCTGTGGCTATACGATTTGCTAGTTTTACCATTCAATGGTTTCTTATTCACGAATCCTTCGATTTAATTTTGGTCATCTGTCTGTGGTTGCTCGAGGATTTTTATTTGTGAATTGCAACGATCCATTTCGGTTCGGTTTTTTAATGATGTGGTTGAAAGTTCAGATGATCGTGGTGACGACGTTCGATAATTTTTGCTGTTATAGAGAGGTTCCAGCCCTAGCTGTATTTGTAGGAAGACGTATTCTGTTTTGACCTAATTTTTCTACTCAATTATTTCTCCAATAATTGGATTTCTTCAGGTGATAGAGAAGAACAATTTTAAATGAACAACAGATGAGGAAATGGCGGTTGCACTTTCTGCATTATACCGTCTGAATCTTCCCTATCTCCATGGATGCGTCCAAGGTGCTAAACTACCTAATACTTTAAAGAAACATAACTAAATAGCTACTGAATTATCAAGAACAAAATTGTTTATCCCATTGTTCTGTTTTGACTCATGAAGCTTGACAAGAAGCTTTTGACGAAATACTTGATGGAGAATCCTCATGACAATCTTCCATATTTTGCTGATAATGTACCAAACATTCTTAGTCTTCATTAATTTAATACAAGAGGTGATCCGGAAATGAGGCTGTGGGTAATTGCTTAATTCCATTGATCCATTTCTTTGGAGTATGCTTTTCTTCTGTTACAAATTGGCACAAGGCATATTAAGAAACGTAGCTTGAGAAAATGATGGCTTTAGCTCCCATTCTTCAGCACTTTGTTTAACAACTAGTCATATGACATTCTTCTTTTGTAAACTATATGTTCATTCTGATTGGCAGGAGGACAAGGATGCTAGTAATGAGCGTATCCATTCACATCATCATCATGGTCGATCGTTAAAAGTAAGTATAGATATACAAAAATTTATCCTTTAAACTCCTTTCGATATATTAATACAGATACAAATCTAGTACAGATGTAGCATTGATTGTAGCATAGGTTAGCTTGCTTTGCAGCTTCGAGTCCTCATTCTTGATGTTATTTATGGTGTTCGTTACTCGTGGCTTACATTCCCATGTCTCTCAAAACTTACCCACGTCTCTCGAAACTTGCAGTAAAGAAGGTGACCCATTTCTTTGTAGTATGCTTTTCTTTTGTTATAAATTAGCATAAGGCATATTAAGAAACGTAGCTTGAGAAAATGATGGTTTTAGCTCCCATTCTTCAGCACTTTCTTCACCAACCAGTCGTATCACATTCTTCTTTCGTAAACTATATGTTCGTTGTGATTTACAGTAGGACAAGGATGCTAGTAATGAATGTATCTATTCACATCATGATCATCATCGATCGTTAAAAGTAAGTATAGATATACAAAAGGTTATCCTTCAAACTCATTTTACATTATTACAGACAAATCTAGTATACATATTGCATTGATTGTAGCATAGGTTAGCTTGCATTGCATCTTCTAGCCCTTATTCTCAATGTTATTTATGGTCTTCGTCCCACGTTTATCAAAACCTTCAGGTAAAGGTGTTGATTATTTCCTTCTATATATTGATGAAGCAGGGAAAGGCTACAAAACAGCTGCTTACACAAAACCTTGTTCCTTTTTCGACTCGTGCTATGATGTGGAGCGAGCAAATGCTTATATTCCTGACTCACAGAGGCAATCATGAATCGTGAATGGATAAGCCATTGTTGATTGATATTCATGTTCATTAATATCTCTTCCAATGCCTTCCCTGTATTGGCCAAGAATCAAACACAGGGTGCGGATGGGGCATATTCCTGTGAAGATTTGAGGAGTGCCAAATAAGATCATAGGCATAACCACAGAGGAGATTGCACCATATAATGTCACATAAACTGTACGTATTATCTGCTCTCCATTTTCAACAAGGAAACCAATATTATTCTAAGATTTAACTTATTAGTTAGTTTGTTCTAGTTCTCTAGATTCATCGCATTAAACTCAGATCACGACGTTGCACGACTGGAAAAGTTTTCAGTCGGACTGTGGGGGACACCCAGGTACCCATATAACTCATTAAGAAATGCTATCAACTTTCCAGCTAAACTGAACTGTAATAGTTACAGAAGGTATGAATTCATTGAGTTTATAAACAGTAAACTAAAACATGTTAGAGACAGGTTGAATGTCAGTATGGGAACAAAACAATGATACAAGAATCAGAAAGTCCCCAGATTTAGTTAAATGTGACTATTGGGAATGAGAAGATTCAGCTTTGGATTGATGATGTAAAATCTCCTGGAGTAGTAGAGATCTTGATTGGTTGACAGTGATCAAACAAGTTGTTATCTTTTGCTCAAGAAGATCAAGGCAATGCCTCAAATTCTGTTGGTCCATCTCCAAATGTTTGAGTACTTCCTGAGCTGTGTTATTATCATTCATTATGCCCAAACCCATCTGAATGTAACGCTTGTCGCCCTCAACGGCGTTATGCAAACGCCTAACGAGGCTATCAAGCGTGTCAAGGTCAGTCTTTAGGATATAGGTATTCCTAGATGCAACTTTAATCTGAGCTTCATACGCCAGTTCTCTCCTGGTGAACTTAGCAAGAGTATAGGCGGTGATGGCAGCGCCGCTGCAGCAGACGGTGGGAGGGCGAACAAAGCGAATCCTGGAACTGGATTTGCTAAGGCGTCGTTCCAGTTGCCGATTGAGAACGCCGAAGAGGTCTCGGATTTGATCTAAGGTCGGTGAGTCAGGGCCGGGGAAAGGATTGTGTTCCTTATCGAATTTACCGAATTCTTGGAAGACGAGGTCACAGTGGGACTGTGGAAGTTGGTCGATAAGGTTTTGGATTGGCCGATACAGTCTCCAGGCTTCGGCGATGCACCGGCGGAGGGAGAGGCAGAATCTGGTGGTTTTCTCGCTGTTATCGAAGTAAGAAGATATGAGTTCAGAAAGGGATTTGGATTTGGATTTGGATCGGTGAAGAACCTTATGGACGTGATCTCGATCAGGGCGAAGCACCTGAGCAAGCATCAGGTGGTCTTGATCGGCGACCACAAGGTCCATGGAGCTGGTGATTCTCGACATCTCCTTGTAGGAATCGGCATGGAGGACATTGATGGTGTATATGGGAGAGAGATTGGTAGATCTAGGTGAGGAATCCATGGGAGTCTCTCAAGAGCGCAGAAATGGAATGGAGGAAATTTCAGAGTTTGAATTAAAAATGAAGGGATTTGAACATTTCTTTTTTCTGCTTGCTAATTTCTCAGTAATGGCGGAAGGGAAAGTGATGGAAGCTGAATCGTAGCAGGGAGGAAGAAGGAAAGAAAGGGTTTTTATCTGTATGGTGATGACGTGGCTACTGATGACGTTGACAATTGTCTTACAATTTGTTTGACCTCCACCATTCACTTGCTTGGGAAGTTTCTTGTGGCCGAAGGTGGGTTCTCGGACGCGTAGGCAATAAGGTACATAATATATATATATATATATATATATATATATATATTTTTTTTTTTTAACTAGTAACCTCTTTATATTTAAATTTAAGTTTTCATATCTATTTATTATTTTTTTAATTTTTTAGTTTTAAAAAAAAATTAATAACTTATAAACATTTTACCTTTGAATTTTTTATTTTACTATTTACTTTTTACCAGAATTTTCTTATTTCAAATCAAAACGAAAATAAAAAGTTTTTAAATACTTATTTTTCCTTTTGAAATTTGGTTATTAATTAGGGAAAACTACCAGAAAAAAAATACATTTTATAAAAGTTAAAAATAAAATTTTAAGAACTTTCCAGAAAAAAAATATATAATTCTTAATTTTATAAAATAATAAAATAATTAACCGTATTTACGTGAATTCATTAAATATGGGTTTCAAGAGTTCTGAAAGCAATAAAAAAGAAAAAAAAAATTACTTTTTCTGTTTTTCCATTTTAAATTGAAAAGTTAAAAATGTACACTAATAGTTTATAATATAACGTAATATATTATAAACTATATAATATTATAAAATAATAATAATAGTTAAGATTATTATTTATTAATATATTACTTAGCACGTTTGAAAGTATTGAAAATTGTAAACTCTATTTTTCTCATTAAATTTAAATATTCATCCAATGGATTTTAAAAGAACAAAAGTTGTATTGGTTGAAATTGGACTTTCTCATGTCATTATTTTGAATTTATGAAAACAATATTTATTTAATTGAAGATCAATTATAAATTAAAGTAGAACTCCAGATTAAGTCAAAGTCAACCACAACATTGTCACATGTCTTTCTTATCTCCATGTCATACCAATGAGCTTGATCGAATTAAAATGGGTTGACTCAAATGAATGTAAGCCCATTAAGTTAAGTGGGCTCAAAACCCATATTTTATCCAAACAAGCCCATGTTTAAGGCCCAATAGAAAAATAGGCTCAAGACCATGTCGAGCCCTTCTAGAAGAACTTTTTAATGTTAAGCCTCACCGGAAGGATTGACTTTTTCTTTTTAGGGATATGCTCGGCTGCCTCCTTCGCATCAACTACTTGACCGTCGGAAAGACGCCTCTTTTTCTTGTTTTATTATTAAGCTGGAAGCTTGTCTATAACACAGTGACTTGAAAATTCAACCCAAGGTATTCTGGTAGAGAGCTCTTGTCCTTTCAATTGGAGTGAACTCATTCATTCACAGAGATAAGAAAGAGAGTCGAAGACTCTTAAATGCTAAGACTTTAAATCTTTTCGAAGACAATTTCAACTATCTTCAAACATGAGTCCATTTTTATCATTTTTATCCTTGTTTTTCAAAATTACAATATTCATTCGTATATATAAAACTAATTATAATTAAAAATAATTATATAATTATATCATAAAAAAATATTTGTTTAAAAAATTAATATATAAAGTTCTCATTTATTTTAAAATCAATGATTTTAAATCATTATAAGTAAATTAAAATAAGCTAAAACAAGAGAAAATGAAAGGATCTCTATCTGAATAGGACACGTGGCGGCATCGGGATAACACGTTGGGTTTTTGAAAGCTACGGCTTACCGGTTCAGTAGCACGTGCTTTGAATTCTCGCGCCTTCTTTTTTTATTTCCTTTAAATATTATAGCTTTTTGTTTTAAATAATTTTAATTTTTGTCGTTTACACTAATCAATTCTTAGTGTTTACACGTTGGGTTTACACGTTCGATTGTTATTTTGTTATGTTGTTTTTATGTTTTTTTTTCTTCATTGTGTCGTTTTGCTATAGTCATGTAGCTCGTGCACGCCCTTGGTTCGATTGTGTTGCCTAGTCTTCATCTAAAACGAATCAAGTAGTATGAATAAGTATAAAATATTCAATAAACCGCTTATTTGTAAGTTCTGAGTTAGTTCTTAAATCTTAGGTCATTTGGTTCATTAGATTGTTTGAACAACTTATCGATATTTAGATGTCTCATCTCTAGGTCATAGTCTCTCCTAGCTATCGAGCTAGAATCACCTATGCTCAACTTAAATTTTGGTGTACACGTCTCCACTTCATGTAACTCTCTCTCTCTCTCTCGATTTTTCTTGATTTATCCACTGTGTGTCAAAAACGAATCGACCGTAATGTGTTTATCGCAACCCCCGCAAATAATCATTCTTTTCAAATTTGGAGCTCATGGAAGTGAAATGGGTCAACTTTAAAATTTAATACTCTCGTGGGTTTCATTCTTTGCCATTCTTTTAATGTCATTTATTTTTAAATATTTAATTAAAAATTTTATAATAGAAAAAATAATTATGAAATTAAATAAATATATGAAATAGGAGAGAGAGAGACGCGACGCGGTGGAGTATAAAAGAGGCGCCGTTGCTTTGCCATTGGCCGGGCGGATCTCTTTCCTTTGCTTCCTCCACCCCCCCCCCCGTCTCTCTCTCTTCGTCTTCTTCTTCTTCGTTTATCTTTCTGTTTCCTCTCTCTGTTCTTCAGATACGGACATGGAAGGCGTCGCATTCATGGTTCGTGTTGTAAATTGAAAGAGGGCAAGCGTCCATTCAATGCACTGTCAGTTGCACAAACCTCCATTTATTACACCGATTTTTGTTTCTGTTTCCGTTTCCCTTTCCATCTTGCCTTGCATGGCCCTTGATTTCTGAATCTTTCAATGATCCCGATTTGATTTGCTGATTGATAGCTTCGCTTCGGCCTCAGGTTTGCTTTATTTTCCATTTCGTTTCTGTTTCGATTTGATTTGTCGTTGTTATTCATTTTCATTTTCAGTCTGTGTGTGTTCGATGGTGATTTCCCTGCAATTCCTGCTTCTGTTTCTTTTCTTTAGCGATTCTGTTTGGTCGGCGATTGCATAATGTCTACGGTGTTAGCAAGAACAGGGCGAGATCGTCAGCGCTATGACGATCATTTTCGTCTCGTTTCAGGGTATGATTTTTCTTCTCTTCTTTCTTCCTTTCTCGTTTCGCTCCACTAGAATACCTATGATGTGAATGAATGATCACGTTTGTTCTTAACAACCATGGATCTTTTGGAATTTACTTTTTTCTTTTCTGCTATTTCGTCGCATTCTCCTTTGTCGTGTTCGCTTTTTTTTTTTTTTTTTTTTTCTA